TAGCTGGGCGGTGCAATAATAGAACTGTGGATAGAAACATGTAGCCAACTAAAAAAGGACATGGAAAGCTTGATGTAACATGAACCTGTCACCCACTCTTATGCTGTATGTTACCTGGCCAGCCATGTTTTAGAGGACCGGTCACTTAAACCAACACCAAAGTGTGCCTGCCACGTGTTAATGTGGACCTGTCACCTGACTAGAGTGGACCGGCTTGCCATATTCGGCGAGAGGACCTGTCACCTGACTGGAAAAACCAGAGAGGACCTGTCACCTGACTGGAAATACCAGAGAGGACCTGTCACCTGACTGGAAATACCAGAGAGGACCTATCTGCCGATGAGCCATGTTAGAGAGGACCTGTCAGCTGACTGGAAATATTAGAGAGGAGCTGTCACCTGACTGGAAATATTAGGGAGGACCTGTCACCTGACTGGAAATATTAGAGAGGACCTGTCACCTGACTGGACATATTAGAGAGGAGCTGTCACCTGACTGGTAATATTAGAGAGGACCTGTCTGCTGATGAGCCATATTAGAAAGGACCTGTCACCTGACTGGTAATATTAAAGAGGACCTATCACCTGACTGGCCATATTAGAGAGGACCTGTCACCTGACTGGACATATTAGAGAGGAGCTGTCACCTGACTGGTAATATTAGAGAGGACCTGTCTGCTGATGAGCCATATTAGAAAGGACCTGTCACCTGACTGGTAATATTAAAGAGGACCTATCACCTGACTGGCCATATTAGAGAGGACCTGTCACCTGACTGGACATATTAGAGAGGACCTATCACCTGACTGGCCATATTAGAGAGGAGCTGTCACCTGACTGGCCATATTGGAGAGGACATGTCTGCTGATGAGCCATATTAGAGAGGACCTGTCACCTGACGGGTAATATTAGAGAGGAGCTGCTACCTGACTGGCCATATTGGAGAGGACATGTCTGCTGATGAGCCATATTAGAGAGGACCTGTCACTTTAAGGGCCATGTTAGAGAGGACCTGTCACCTAACAAGCAATATTAGAGCAGACCTGTCGTGTAAATCTCTAGCAATACTCCTAAACACATGTTAAAGACCACTGAATTCTATGACCAGCCAGTCTGAAGTGGACTTTCATCTCAACCTGAGGAAATCAACCAAAACCCATTTTAAAAGGGGGTTGTCACCAAAATCTATGGAACCAAGTGTGCCTGTCACGCATACAAATGCTAGCCATTTTAAAGCTGACCTGTCATATAAATCTTAACGCGTTTAAAATAAGTCATGGAAAGCTGTGACTAGTCATTTAAAGGACAGCTGCCATTGCTCACTCCTCCTTCTGGGAACAGTTGCCTGGCTGTCATACTGATCCTGTGCCTTCAATGCTTCGCTAATCACTGACCTACAACATGTGTGCAGATCCGGAGCTCTGATGTCACTTCCTGCAAGCTTATACGGGGTCACCAACTAAAAAAGCACTAAAGCCAGACACAGCCAGGCAACTAGTGGAAGAGCCGGCTTGCTGTTAGACCGGTCCTTCCAGCGTCTCTCCCCCTCTGCTGTAGCCGTCTAAGATCCTGTAAATCGTTGCGTACTGTGTATAGACGTGAGGACGCTGAGGAACATTTCATTGCTGCAGTGTAGGAGGAGACAGGCTTCAGGGGCCAGAATAGCAGGCAGCCGGCTCAACGGTTCAGGTGAGTATAACGGTTTTTTTAGCACCAAGACAAAAACAACCACTTAACGCTTAAAGTTTGGGGGTAGCCCCACTGCAAGGGTTAAGAACACTTTTGCCCGGAGTTTTGCTTTAATTACACATGACTTTCTGTGCGGGTGGTAAAGACAGATAGCCGACGCTGTCTAAGCCTAGCTTAAAGTAGTATTAAACTCTTAAACCTTTTTCAATAATGAATCCAGATTAAACAAATATACATCAACCAGCAAAGTATTTATTTACATTTTTGCCCAAGCACTTACAGTCATCACATGTCCAAACAGCTGACTCCAACTCTCTTAGCTCGGCTTCCCTGAACTGTCTGTCCAGTACAAGATCACAAGGAAGAAAGCAGTCTTCAGCAACTGTCCATATAATAGCTTGGAAAAGGGAGGAGAGAAATGATTTGTCTTGCTGTGCCTGTGTGTTTGTGGAGACGCACACAGCTTACTAGCACACACAAAGGGGGGCTCCATAGGACTCTGCAAGAGAAAGGAGACACCCTAAAACAGGATATCAGGGCCAGTGCTCTGCGGACCAGCTGATTCACAGAACTAAAACTTTTAGACATCATGGAGCAGAATCCATTGTAAGTGGTGAATCACTTACAAGTAAACAATGTAATGTACAACATAACTTAGAATGCAGAGATCAGCACAAGATACCGAGGTCAGGTGTATGTAACATAGCCTGCTGTTTAGCGAGATGCACAAATGTCATGGAGCCAGCAGTCAGGGTGTGGTATAAGCCTTACTGGTCAGTGGGGGTATTGGTGATTTATTTTATTTCAGTTTTTAAATTTCTATTTCGGTGCACCTCTAATCTACATGTGTGTGGTCAAATTTAGAAAACATAACATTTGGTGATAAGTAACTGATTTCAAAACTTATAAGAAGGTTGTTATTGTTTATTTATCTTATTAACATGTAAGTTCGTTCTGATGACAAGTTTATTGAATTATCATAAATTGACCAACTTACCAGCAGCCCAGATTCGATAATGAAAGTAAGGGTAATAAACTTTATTATTAAATTGTCATGTATAATAATAACAATAACTTAAGAATAGATATTGAAAGGATATAGCAGAATTAAAAATCATAACTTATAGCTCATATTCATATGCCTCTCAATATATCAATGATTAATAGCCGTATGAGTATAAAATATAACATGTAAATGAAGGTGTGATCATTCAGATTATCCTGATACACCTCTCACCTTATATAGAAATCAATTTCTCACCCCAATTATTTTAGAAAATGTAAAATCAGAATTGGTAGTACCAGAGTGCCACCTGTAGGGCAGGTAACATTATTGTGTTACCATATAAAGTTTTGCTTGTGTAGTACACTATATTGCCAAAGTATTGGGACGCCGGCCTTTACACGCACATGAACTTTAACCAGTTGACATCCGCGGTGTTAAAACATCCCAGTCTTAGTCCATAGGGTTCAATATTAAGTTGGCTCACCCTTTGCAGCTAGAACAGCTTCAAGTCTTCTGGGAAGGCGAAAAATTGTATATTGAAAGGCTATATGTTTACAAATTGAGGCTCTAGGCTCTATGTACTTAGAAACATAGAAGAGTTATGGAAAAAGTGGTCCATCGGGTCTAACTTTTTTTTTTACACCACGTTTTTGTTAAAGAATAGGTAAATAAATATCCAATGCATGTTGTGATTCCATTACTGTGGGCTGATTCACTACCTCTATTGGAAGTCTGTTTCAAGCATCAACTACTCTTTATGAATAGAAAAAAATAAATACAAAAAAGTAATAATAATCCTTTATAACGTTAGCTTGAATTTTCTCCTACTAGTTTGTGGCGGTGTCCCCGTGTCCTTGATCTTAGCCCTTATATTGAAAATACTGCCCTTCTGTATCTTATTCACGCCCTTTCTTTATGTATTTAAAGGTTTCAGTCATGTCCCCACTGCCAGGCCACACTATTTGCTTCCTTCTTAAACATGTACCTTCTTTTCCTGACACCTACATGGCAGCATACAATGGGTATGGCTCCACCCCCAGCACAATCACAGGACCAGTTCTACTATAAATTAAAGCCCGCCTCCCAAGGCCACCATTTTTTTTTCAGCTCATGCCCGAAATGTGGCTGCTATGCTGGGAAGAACATGGAGGTTACCTTTTCTTTCAGGTCGATCTGTTCATCTGTCTGGTGGTTTTAGAAAGTAGCACTCTGCGTGCACTAGGTCACATGCATTGTGGCTGGTCAAGCAGATGGACCCACAGATTAATCTCTGGGTTCGCTCTTCCGCAGGATGTCATCCTTACGGATAGAATTTACTGGGGTACCTCCAGAGTTTTTCTGGAAGGCAGGAACCTAGTATATATTCCTGTCCCATTCCTGACCAGGACCTGGTCTATCCAGGAGTCTTGTCCATGGTGAAGTTGGTTCTGAATGTGTTTACCAGTGGTAGAAATAAATAAATAAATATCTCAGAATTACCCTCCCTGGTTGTGTGCTCGCTATATCCCATTGTATGCTGCCATGTAGGTGTCAGGAAAACGGAAAATTGTATACTTACCTTTCGGTAATTTTCCTTTCCTGACGCCAATACATGGCAGCATACAGGACCCTCCCATGGCTTTCGCATTGAGTACTTGTTACGAGAATGGTGGCCTTGGGAGGCGGGCTTTAATTTATAGTATAACTGGTCCTGTGATTGGGCTGGGGGCGGAGCCATACCCATTGTATGCTGCCATGTATTGGCGTCAGGAAAGGAAAATTACTGAAACGTAAGTATACAATTTTCTGTTTTCATTGCTTTGTAAATATCTACCTTGGTTCCCCAAAAATAAGACACTGTCTTATATTTTATTTGGCTCAAAAAAAAACACACTAGGTCTTATTTTTGGGGTAGGTCTTATTTTTTTATTTTTTTATGTACAACAATCAACACTTATTCATGTACAACAGTCTACATGTATTCATGTACAGAAATATGGTGATCAGGGGTGCCGTACCTTTCCAAAAGCAATTTGGTAACCAATCGCTGGCCAGAATGAGCGAAGCACGCTTTCACTATCGATTCCTCACAGGCGGAGTGCATTTGGTATCACTCCGCCTGTGACAGGAGCCGGCGCTATAGAGGAGGCATCGGCTTATGTGGCCCTGCTCCCTCCGGTGCCGCCTCGCTTCCTCTAGCGCTGGCATTGTTGGCACCGCTGATTCTCTCCTGCCTCTCCCGCCTCTCTTCAAGTTCCCCCTTATGCCTCGACCGGCCCTGGGAATGGTCCCAACTAGGTCTTATTTTCGGGGTAGGTCTTATATTTTAGCAATTCCCAAAAATAGCACCAGGTCTTATTTTGCGGGTAGGTCTTATTTTCGGGGAAACAGGGTAGATAACCTTACTTGAAATGCACTGGGGAACAAAAAGCAATGCACCCCACTGAAGGAGAAAGGATTTTGCAATGTATATGCAAATGCAACAACAAACAATTACCCTTACTTTAGCAATTATCTCTGTAGGTTGAAACATTTTTTTTTCTCTCAGGCTGCTGGCTGTCACTGGCGGGTGTGAGGAGGAACGTGTTGCTGTTAGATCACCGACAACCTGTCAGTGATCTGTGCAACGGCGCATTCCTCCTCACAGCCGCGCGTTCCTCCTCACAGCCGCTGCTGAGGCAGTGACAGCAAGCAGCTGCGGAGGAGGAGGCTGGGCTTGGTGTCGGTAGAGGAGGTGGGGTTCTGTGTCGGAGGAGGCGGGGACCACCAGCGACCAAGGAGGAGGAGGCAGACAGCGGATCAAGGCTGACAAGTAAGAGGTGTGCAGGGGTGTGACCAGCCCACCTGAGACCCTGCAGAGCCCACCATAGCAGCGGTGTAACTAGAAATCACAGGGCCCCATATCAAAATGTTTTATGGGGCCCCCCAAACTGCCCCCAACCCCCACTCCACAACCTACCCCCACCACACTACCTACCTCCAGAACACGTTCCTGTGCTCGCGCACAGGAACACACAGGGCCCGGTTTCAGCTGCGACCCTGATAGTTCTGCCACTGACTCCAAGTTGTAGAGGGACTACAAATCTCAGCAATAAATTATACAGCAATGCAGAATAATACTACCAACTATAGAGGACTACAAATCCTAGCAATACATTATACAGCAATGCAGAATGGCACCACCTATAGAGGACTACAATCTCAGCAATACATTATACAGCAATGCAGAATGGCACCACCTATAGAGGACTACAAATCCTAGCAAT